GGGGTCAGACAGACAGACACACTCTCTGAAATATGTAGTAGATAGCTATCCCTTTCTCAACCACTGCTGACCCAATGGGGTTATAGCTGCCCACTCCCCATATTCATGTCGCTCCCTCCAGACCGTTCCATTTCCATTTTATTATAAACAATTGAATTCCATGCACATCCCATTTTCCTGGCACAACCAAACCCTGATCTGGGGTCAGACAGACAGACACACTCTCTGAAATATGTAGTAGATAGCTATCCCTTTCTCAACCACTGCTGACCCAATGGGGTTATAGCTGCCCACTCCCCATATTCATGTCGCTCCCTCCAGACCGTTCCATTTCCATTTTATTATAAACAATTGAATTCCATGCACATCCCATTTTCCTGGCACAACCAAACCCTGATCTTGCTTTAAGTTATGATTACAGCAAACCAAATTTGGTGGTCCTAGCTCTTACTATTTAGGAGGGAAAAAAATCTTTAGAGGGGTAGCCACGTTAGTCTTTAAGGTGTTGCTAGACTTCATTGTTTAAGTTTTTCCAGTTACAGAAACATGTAGATGGTGTCATTAGCTTCCGGCAAAAAATGAGTCACAAGGTAACAGCGGCAGCAGCTGAACTGAGCAAAAAGGGTAAAAAAGGCTTAAAAAAACTAAAATATTACAATATACTGTATACAGTATGTACAATAAAAAGGGTTAAAAACACTTTATATACAGTATATAATGTATACAGTAGATATATAACCAGTTTATAGTATGTCCTGATAGTCCGGCATATCTGATAATCTGGCACTACCTAGGTCCCATAGGTTCCGGATTATCGGAAGTCTACTTCAAAGGATGATTTCAAAGGATTTATTTCAAAGGATGATTTAAGAGACAATCACTATTTTGTAGGACATAAGTTTAATATAAAACATACATAAAAATCAGCTAACAGTCTTGCTAAACAGTGCATCATTTTAGCCTCCCCAGCCCCAAGCACAGTTTGGACACTACTGAAACACAAATATCAATAATAGTGAAATAGAGTATTCCTGGGATTGTTATGCAACATATTGAGGATAAAGAGCAAACTATCCTCTGAAGCACAGAACACATCCATGGAAGTAAGCTTAGCAGAATGTGTGCTGTATATCATGACTCTTGTTGGAAATTTTAGTGACCTTTTCCTAACCTTTGTCTGATGCAAGAAAGGGAAAAGAAAAATGTGATTTCCCATCTGCTCAATTTAATAAAGTCTACTTAGTGAATTAACTAGGCCTGTGTGCTTATCAGAAGGAGAAGTGAAATTCTCTAAACACTGTGGTGTCAGTTTCAATTAGACACACAGATCCCACTGGATATTTTAAATCTTGTTCTTTGCATCTGACAGCATCCATCAATAAGAATAATGATATAGCTTGCATCAGAACAAATTACATCAGAAATTGAGAACCTAATATCTGCTTTTCACACATTATCTGATGTATCATATATGAAATTTTTGAAATCTTTGAAAAAATATTTAAGTAGTTAAGAGCTCCCTGCAGTATTTACATGATACATGAAGTGCTCTGTTTTCTTATATTCTCCTTTGATTCTATGCTTTAGTCTTTAATACATGAACACCATGAAAATCTTAATATAAGGGAACAGACCATAGAGTGCAAAAGGGATGTTGGCTTTTTGTCACTTGCTCCCTTTATGTGTGTACCGTAAAAGAGCATGCTGGAGACCAATTCCTACTAGTGTAAATTAGAGAAGAAAAAACAAAAACAAAAAAACCAGTGCAGCCAGAAAGGAGGAAAAAAACATGAAGCTGTGGTTCCAGCTCCAGTGGAGAAGTAAACAAGAGAAGTAAAGACCCTGACACCTGTCCCTCTCCCCTCCCAGGTGACCATATTTAAAAAAATAAAACAGCTTGCCCAAACTG